AATAATATGTAACGAACAGAGCCCGGTCTCATGAAAATGCATATAAATAGTATGCCAAATAAAAATGAAAACTCGTGGTATTGATACGCAAAAATGGACTTTGGCGTGCATATGATACGCATGTGTTTGGCGTGCATATAATAAGCAGTTTTCGCGTGCATATGACACGAAACTTGTTGGCGTGCATATGATATGCAGTTTTTGCGTGCATATGATACGAAATTTGTTGGCGTGCATATGATACGCAGTTTTCGCATGCATATGATACGAAATATGTTGGCGTGCATATGAAATGCAGTCTTCGCGTGCATATGTTACGAAATTTGTTGGCGTGCATATGAAATGCAGTTTTCGTGTACATATGATACGCACCTACCCCACAACCCCAAACCTACCCATCGCGTAGCATATACACGCCAAAGTCCATTTTTGCGTATCAATACTAGGAGTTTTCGTTTTTATTTTGCGTAGGCCTACTTTTTATACACACTTTCATGAGATCGGGTTGGCAGTTTGTACTCTCGGATGCCATTAGAACTTCCGGTTTAATTTTCTGGATTCCTTGTTAATTGTTCCCCCCCCCTCCCCCCCATTTGGATTTTTCTGGACTCTGTTTCAACATTTAAATTAAATTGTAGTAATCAAAAAGCACATCGTGCATATAATACGCAGTTTTCGTGTGCATATGATACGAAACTTGTTGGCGTGCATATGATACGTATGTGTCTGGCGTGCATATAATACGCAGTTTTCGCGTGCATATGATACGAAACTTGTTGGCGTGCATATGATACGAAGTTTTCACGTACATATGATACGCATCTACCTCACAACCCTAAACCTACCCATCGCGTAGCATATACACGCCAAAGTCCATTTTTGCGTATCAATACCACGAGTTTTGGTTTTTATTTGGCATACTATTTAATACCACGAGTTTTTGTTTTTATTTGGCGTACTATTCATACGCACTTTCATGAGATCGGGTTGAACTATCAGAGAAAGACGTCAAACAGACATTAATAGTCAAGCAGAAGAAAACGAGGATGAGAGTGAGACACAGCATCGGCAGAGGGAAATTAACACAAGGGTCACGGAAAAGGTTGCGAGTTTAATGAGGGCAGCAAATTAGTCTGAGAAATACACAAGCAGGCAGGCAGATGCATGCAAGCAAAAAAACACACACTTTCCCGATTTCACTTTTCTCCAGAGCAGTGGAGAAGCCACCAGTAAATATTTAATCACAGACGATCTAATCAGATTCCCACTTTAAATGCCGACAACATACCACCACAGCAGAAACACAAGAGACGCGCCATAATAGATCGTCTCCGCATCTCGCCTTACCTTCTCAAGTGCCCACAATACATGCAAGAATAATCCGGAGCAACACAGCTTTGATATCACATCGACTGGCATCATTGCAATTTATGATTATTATTGGCCTGATGTTTATTAAGTCATAACGATCACAATCTATCCTGTAAATGTCATATCAGAAAGTCGCTGTACTTTGCCCCATCAGACTAAATTAGCATCAATTGAAGAGTCTATTAATAATGGAAGGGAATCATGTAATTGATCTCAGCTGAACACGCGTTCTCCTATTGACTTTCAGGGAGAGTGGCGATCAGACTCTCACAACAAAGCTCTTTCGAGATCTATTACTGTAGTAATGCGATATTCAAGCACCAAGATTGTAATTACGTTTAGTCTAATCAAGTCAAACAGCAACATCAAAGCAATTTGGTAAATGTAAAATTTCATACACCAGCATTGAAAAAAAAATGGCATAGAAACAATTTTCACTTATAAGTTGCTAGTAAAATGCACAATTACAAAGAAATGGCAAGTAACACATTGCCAACACATGCTCAATCAATGTTGGGAAGGGTTGTTTATAAGGAGGCAAAAACTGGTCAAAATAAATTGAAATCTGCACAATTTCATTCACCAACCAAAATGTAGACTATCTGTTTATTCACTGGAGTTTCGTCCATCCAAGATGTAGATGAGTCTGTTTCTTCATAGGAACAGATTTGGAGAGTTTTAGCATTTCATCACTTGCTCACCAATGCAGTGAATGGGTGCCGTCAGAATGAGAGTTCAAACAG